AAAAAAAAAAAAAAAAAAAAAAAAAAAAAACGAACTAAAAAAAGTCTGAAAAAAAAACTATGTTATGCAGAAAAATAAACTGAACAACGTTTGCCTCAGGGTCACATTGAATTTCTTTACCAAATTTAACACACTGGATCCTCAATCGGAAGAGCCGACAGAGAAATGCAAAGTGACATGGGAGCCCAGCAGGGGGCCAACCTACGCTGGCACAAACAAAGACTAATTGGTCGATGAGCCGTATTAAGTAGTCACCATAACGAAAAAATACCACAAAGCGTCAAGAACACCTACATAGTGTGTTCCCGGGTACACTTCCAACGTACACCAACATAATGACAGTTTGAAACAAGCCTGGTGGATGGGTACACACAAGACATGCAGCAGAATGACTGGTCCTATACGGACGAGGGAGAGAAAGGAAACGGGTAGGATACATATAGCTGTATGACAGGCCCTAAACGTACGAGCGAGTGAAAAGGGAGAGAAAAGGAAAAGGGGGGGGTGCAGACACCTGGGATTGAACTTGGACTGACAAACTGAAGGGGGACAGGAAAGGAGGATTCAGTTGGCAATTTCCAGGGAGGGACTGGGTCAGCAGGGAGAAGGAGCTCTAGAAGTAGGAAGGGTGATAGATGCAGCCCCGAGGGAAAGTCAGTGCTCCAGGCTAGGAAATGATAAGGCCACAATCCCAGCAAAGGTACTGCTGAGATGAAGTATCTAAGGGACGCTGGACCCGGTTTCGAGCAGGTGATGCTCCCCACCAAATAGATGGAGCAGACCGACTGGCAAAACCTCAATTTCGGTGGTTCTCTTACCACCACCTGGATAGAGGCCTTACACTATGGGGCTATGTTTGTAAAAAAAAAAAAAGAAAAAAAAAGAATGAATCTTCCACTATAACATGGGGGACATCGCCTGCCTCTACTATCCGATGGGCCCAGGCGGGCATTGGAATGTCGCGCGTATGCGTAACGGTTCTCTACTGCGATGTCACCTTTGGTCCTTTGTGTTCCGCATAGTACACGCTTCGTGAAGCACCTTGCAGTTGAAGAACCCACCCCACGCATTTCCGCGCCAACGGTAATGGTGGAAGGCCGTTGGGGGCCCGTCGGGTACTGGAGGCCGGCGATGACCGCTCAATGGACCACGGATGACCTGTGCACCAACATTGAGTCAGATTCCAAATTCTCCTGTTGGCGCTCGCTCCAGAATACTCCAGAACACTCCATCAATCGCGGTTCCTTAACCCAAGGAACCTCTCAAGAACCCCTTGTATCCAAGGACGTTTTGGCTGGGGATTCCGAGGAACCCAAGGAAATCTCTCGGGAGCGTTTTCACATTCATTCAAGGAATTTGGTCAATTAGGACACAGTGTTACGACGCCGATTTCCCAAAAATCGGATTTCCAAGAAGGGTCAAACGAGGCCCAAGACAAACATATCTCTTTTCGTTTTCTTTTTTGGGTTCGTGTGCCTGCCCCCATTAGAAGGTAAACAAAAACAGAAGTTGAGAGAAGAATATAGACAGTTGTGATCACCCCGTAAAAAATGGAAAAAAAATGGAGGGTGCTTTTGGGTGCTCGGCCTCGAACACTCAATACCTGGACTCTTGCACCCTGGCTGGGGATTTGGCCGTTTCAGGAGCTTCAGGCCTTTCTGACACCTCTTGAAGGATTGGTTTTTGCCCAAATTTTTTATGCTTTCAACTTTCAAGAGGCTGTATGACCATGCCCAAACTCTTGAAAATAAAGCGACGGAAGGTGGGCCAGGGCCGGTAGCACTGTCCGTGCGCTAATTACGTGCACTAATTCAGCAGGAGCTGGGTTAGCGCTAGGTTTTCGCGCCCGGTACAGTGACACCGAATGCTAAGAACTCGGGCTCCAAGAGTGGCGGGCGCGTGTAGCGACGCTCACCTCGGTAGTCTCGAGGGCGAGAGAGTTACTGCAAATACGAAGAAGACGCTCTTCGAGCCGCTTGCTGTCATCGCTTTGTGCTATGGCAGACAGTTAAGTAACACTGCTATTCACCCAGAATAGCAACATCCTTCGTAGGATGGGTGTATCTTTTCATAAGCAGCCTGGAGTGCTTAGCTCCTCCTGCCATTCCATTTCATCGTTGATCCATTACCAGTCTCAAAAGTAAGCACGGTATCTTTCGTAAACCATCGTAACTTTTGTGATTTCTCCCATAGGGGAGTTCGGGGACAAACTGCACGTGCAGGAGGGTCGGGGACCCAATTTTTGGACAAGCCGTCGGAAGCAGCTGTGGGTGAACCGGATCACCATCTCAGGTATATCAGATATCTAAGTGGAGCGCTTCAGTAACCCTAAGCAGCAAGGAGTGACAACACGGAGTATATAATCCCTAAAAGGGAGATCGGTAATCTCTTCTCTTGATGACTCTCCCCTTTGGGTGTAGAACCATTAGTGCCTACCTTCATGGTACTAAAACGGTATCTCCTGCTTGCTAAGGTTCTGATAAGTTATATCTATATCTGTTGGCTGGGAATTACTCTCTGTGGTTTGATAGATATGAGCGGGGGAACGGGAGCCCCGGGGGATATCCCTCGGGGGAGGCAATCGATAAATAGAGTGTTCACTCCGGAGGAGAAATTGCAAATCTCGTCTTTATTTGAAGAGTGCTTTAGAGATGGAATTTTGCCGAGGGGTTTGAATATTGGGGTAGCAGAAATTAGCGATAATATTGCTCGCTTTGATTTGAACGAAAAGTTCTCTAACCTCAGTATTCAATGGTTGAGAGATCATGCAGTGACAGTAGTCTTTTCCAATGATGCTTCAGTTTTATCGAATAAGATGAAGAAGAAGTTGGTCAGAGTCTACGAAAACGGCTGGTATGATTCAGGATTGTTGGATGAAGGCACTAAAAGGGGTAGATATCATAGTGAGGGGAAGAACTTGGCATCGCTTGTTTCGGCAGAAAAAGCGGTCGTTACTTGGATGTTACAGAAAAAGAACGATGTGATTGTCACAAACGGGAAGGAATATAGGGTGGAATTCCTCCCGTGGATGACTCTGTCGGAAATGAGGACGTTCAAGGATCCCGCATCAAAACCTTTTTGGATCTGATGCCTTCGTGTCCCTTTTCAGCTTCTGTCTCCGCTGTGCGTTGCAAATGAAAATACTTTTGGAACGATGCTGAAAGTACACCCTATGGAAAAGGAAGGTGAAGACCCTGAGTTGGGCTCGGTGAGATTTGATATAGATGTGAGCGTGAAGGCTCAAGTCAAACCACGGTTGGTGGTAGGCGTTCTTAGACAGGGAGATTACTATTTTGAGGTAGTCACAGCGCAAACCGCGTGGTGTAATCACTGTAGGGAATTCTATCATGATGCAAAGGAGGAGTGTCCAGGTAACGCTGAAGCAGATCCGTTCGCGGACAACTTCAATAGACCTGAACCCCCGATTCCACCCTTCTCAGGTTTTGTGCCGGTAGGGGAGGATGCCCCTACGACAGGATTTCGTAGATTTCCGGGGGGATACCAGTCGTATCCGGAACAACAAGCCTCAGGCTCAAAGAGTGGGCAGAGAGACGAGGGTCGGAGGAGGGGCGAAGGACTATCGAAGGGGCATGAAGTCAAATTGCAGCAGGGGAAGAAGCAGAACAAGAAGGCGAAGGGTAAGCAAGTGGAACCTAGTGGACAGTTTTCGAGTGCAAAGGGGGGTCACTCGAGCCAAGGCTCTGAGTCGGAGGGAGAGGGGAGCAGTCGACTGTCCAAACTAGAGAGGGGGGCGTACAAAGCATTATCAAAAGTTTTCAGACCTGTGAGTGACACAAGGGACAAAATGAAGGACATCTCATTTTAGGGATATGCAAGAGAGGTTAAGAGACCTGAAGGATCTGAAGAAAAAGAGGAAGAAGAGGAAGAAGAAGAAGAAGAAGAAGAAGATGATGGAAAGGAAGACGAAGGATCCCTGATGGAAGAGGAAGGTAGTGGGACAGGGGGCGGTGGGACAGGGGGTCCGGGGAGAGCGGAAGGTCTGGTGGGAGGAGAACCAATTGAAACCCTGGGACGAAGGGATGATAACGTTACTAGAGTCTTAGTCCCGCTCATCTTTGCTCGCGCTAGTGCAGGCATGATGGTTCTGGCTACTCAGTTAGCAGACGGCTCAATGGAGCTGCCAACGGTGGAATTCAATGAATTATTGACAGAATCTGTGATTCTGAAGAGGAAGAGGTCCCTAATCCCGAATTGTCTTCAGGTTAGGGTAATCCAAGGACTGAGGACAAGTGTCCACACTGTCACACTAACGACAAGCCAAAAAGTGAGATTTTATTTTGCGCTGGATCTTCTGGACTCGGACCTCAACGAGGATTTGGAAAGGATCTCAATCAAGGGGTCCTTCTCTGCTAAGGTGATAGCAGAATGGCTCCGCGAAGCAGAAGTGCACAAAAACTTTCTCTTGCACGAATCCTTCAAAGACGCCCTAGGTACCCCATGGCAGGTGTCTTCACCGTCATTTAGAGGTGCGGAGGGGGCACGGAGAAGGAAAAAAACGGACAATAAGGAATCACCGGGAGGCCGCATCCATGACAAAAAAAGTCTCTCGTTGACTGATGCCTAGTAATGGAACGTTGAAGATCGCCTCATGGAATGTACGAGGGCTATGTGATACAGGGTTCAAACAGAAACGAAGCCGCATGAAATCCTGGATGCACAAGAAAATAATTCAAATTCTGTGTATTCAGGAATCTAAGTTGGACGGAAACCGTATAGGGGAGGCGAGGAATTGGTGGACAGGCCCGCAATTTTGGGGTCCTGCTAGGCGAGGACAGGGGGAATACAGAACTAGGGGTGGAGTGAGAATCCTCTTTCACAAGAACTTCGATACCCAGATTATTGATACTATGGTAAATACCTGGGGGAGGTGGCTGTGGGTAAAATTCTCAGTAGGTTCGGAAGACTGGGCTGTGATGTCAGCTTACCTTCCAGTCTGTTATCAGGAAAGAATTACCTTCATCTCACAAATGTCGAGTTTTCTTCCGAAATGCTCCAACCTTATTATTGCTGCTGATTGGAATACAGTAGTAAACCCGGGTTTGGACACGCCAAAAGCGTCACCGATAAGGACTGACATTAGACTGCTAAATGCATTTTCGACGAACCAAGGGTTAACAGATGCATTCAGGGTACTCTATCCTCAGGAACTGGGGTACACCTGGTTTGGCTCTCAGTCACCACCGGTGAGGAAGAGGCTAAACTTTATGCTTATGAAGGGAGCTCCATGGGAAACCTGCCTCAAGATTGAGATTGGTGTAGCATCCATGCCTGATCACCTGCCAATTACGACAGAATTTCAGATTTCACAGTCACAGAAATTTGGGAGCTCTTACTTCAAACTGAATACGCAACACCTAAATGATCCGGATCTTCGGGTATGGATTCGTAACCATCTCAAAGAATGAGAACTAGCTAAGACTCTCTTTAATAATGAGGAGGATTGGCTGGAAGTAGGTTTCAGAATCCTCCAGGGTTCTCTGAGTAACTTTTCTCATATCAAGGCCATAGAGCGGAAAAAAGTAGAGAGGGAACTCTTACGCAAAATTCAAAAGGCAGAAAAGGAATTCGGCAAGCACCCCATTTCCGATGCCTATTGGACGGGGGTCAGAAAGAGGGCCTATCATCAACTGGAAGCATTAGAAATTCAGCAATAGACTAGATGGAAGGAATGACTTGCTCAAAGGAATATCATTACTAGTGATCGTATGAGTAAGGATACCTTTCGAAGGTTACTTCTGCAGTCCACCAAGACTCCTATGCTCCAATTAGCCCATCCTTTTTCTATCGCTTCACAGACTTCTATGGACTTGGAAGTAATGTGCGAGTATGCATGCCTATATTTTCAGGACATTTTAACTACTCGCAGACCGTTTGATGACTTCGATTCAGACCTACGGGAAGGGAACGACTTTTGGGTCTGTTCCAAAAAAAGTCTGTCTCCCTTGGCAAAGTTGGATCTAGAAAGACCTATAAATTCGAAAGAGCTCCATCGGGCGGCAAAGCAAATGGCTACGGGTAAGTGCCCTGGAGACGACGATCTCCCAATTGAATTATATCTGGCTGTTTGGGAAGCAATTAGCCCTTACCTGCTCAGTATATATAACGCCGTCCTCACAGGTGGGCGAGGTATGATGAAAGGGATTATAATGCTGATGTATAAAAAAGGAGATAAGGCGGATGTTCGTAATTGGAGACCGATATCGGTCCTCAACGTGTCATACAAACTCCTAGCAAAGGTTCTAGCAATTCGTTTAGCTAGATACCTCCCTTCATTGATAGGAAGTAAGCAAGGGGCTTTTGTGAAACATAGGTCTATTCTAGACAATATCGCAGCTACTATTCAAGCCTTAGAAATTATTGCAAAAGAGAACAGGGATGTCGCGATACTCCTATTAGATATGGAGAAAGCGTATGACAGAGTGGGATGGACTTTTGTGTCAACAACATTAAAACATATGGATTTTGGTTCTAACTTTCACAGATGGGTTTCAGTTATGTACTCCAGTGTCGTGGCGGCAGTGATGGTGAATGGATAGATATCTCGGGCATTTTCATTGACTAGATCTTTGAGGCAGGGATCCCCCCTTGCCCCGCTGCTTTTCGTAATATATATGAAAATTCTGTTGGATAACGTGAGATATAGTGGGCGGGTAAAAGGCCTATCCTTACGAGATGAAATGGATTGGAAAGGGGGTGCCTTGGCTGGTGACCTTACTACAGCCTGTATTAACTCCCGCTCGAATTTGCTTAATCTGAGGAAAATCTTAAATACCTATTGCGAGCTATCGGAGGCGTCCATTAATTGGAATAAGTCTGCGTATTTCCTACCGGAACAGTTTAGTCTGTGGGTGAACTGGGGCCTTAAAAAGGTTCCCGCAGTATCCTTGGAGCGGTTTTTGGGAGTACAAGTCTCATTGTCAGATAACTCTCCTTATCAAGATTCGCTACTCGAAGAGAAAGTGGTTAATAGACTACTCTCATGGCAAAACAAGAAGCACCTGTCCCTTTTGGGACGAGCTCTAGTTATATCAACGGCGGTCTTTTCAGTCCTCTGATATATTATGGTGGTCCATCTCTTGGGCGAAGGGGCATACAAAAGAATAAGAAGAGCTGCAGCGAGACTGTTGTGGAAGTCGGAAGGTAATGAGCAGGAAGGTTTTATGACAAAAGTTGCGTGGGAAACCATCTCCTTCCCTAGAGAGGAAGGGGGTCTGGGTCTATTAGATCCTAGACAGCAGAATATTGCAATGTTAGCCAAATGACCTATAAAGGCCTTTTCGGCAAATCCAGACTCTCCCTAGTTGAAATTGGCTATGTACATCCTGCGAGGGGATTGGTCACTGTCTCGAGACGAAGATGTGCTGGCTTGCCTACAAATAGGCTCATATATTAACAAACAGCCAAAATCTAATTTTTGGAAAGGAATTTTGCACGCATGGAAAAAGGTGTTCCCTTCGGATAGAGAAGGCCCAGTCACTAGAGCAGGGGTCCTGAACCAAATCATCTTTGAAAATCCATTAATTCTTGATGAGAAGGGGAAGGTTTTCTCCGCTAACGACTCTCCAGGGAACTTTGGGAAATCCTGGATAGAAAGGGGAGTGGTCAGATTGAAAGACTTGTGGGATGAGTCGAAAGGCATGTGGAAATTGTTGGACCAAGTAAAGCTCAGACTAGGTAGACTGAGAGATGTTAAAAATAGGCTGACAACTGTTCAACGAGCGATTCGTTATTCATGGATCCAGATTTTGATCAAGGAGGGTATTCCTGCAGCTGGCCTCTGGGCCATTTCAAATTCTTCGCAACCACCAGTGATATATCACATCACTTACGATCTCGGAGAGGAAGGTTGGTTAGCAAGTGAATGACAAATGGATAGCTCGACAGAATTTACCAAGGAGCTGATTGCAGGACAAAAGACTGTGAGATTATCTGAGATCAATACGTTAACAGAAATAGCAGTCCAATATCAACTTAAAAGATCTCTCGGGGCAAGGGGAATGAGTTGGTCTGCCGAACTACCAATGGGACTGCCCCCACTAGGGGAAGCGGCAGTGGATATACGTACACTGAGATGGTTTATTGGACTGGAGCAGAAAAGGATTAGTATGGCCAACTACAAAGTCAAAGTGGGAGTTGCAATTCAGCGAGCAAAGGTTGTCAAATCGCCCGGAGTAACAGTAGCTAAACGCAGAACAGACGGGGATCTACTGATGATCTCAGAAGACCAGTTGAACTCCCTGTGGCGGCAGTACAAGGCCATCCCATCCCAAAGGCTAACAAGTATTTTATGGCTTCAATCCTTCCTAGCCACAGACTCAGCGGTCAATCTAGCAGCTAGGGGAATGCCAATCTCAACAGCATGTGTTCGTTGTCGTTGGCCGTGGGAGACAAACAGGCACCTTTGGCTTACGTGTCCAGCTTCGCGAAGAATATGGGACTGGTGGATGGTACACTGGAAAAAGATTACAGGCAATGCCTTCGAGTGGTCGGATGAATGGATAATCTCAGACATTCATAATAAGGAGAGAACAGTAGAGCACGAATGGATCTACGTAGCCCAATGCCTGAGGGCAATTATCCTGAAGATCATATGGGACGAACGCAACAATCTGCTATTCAGGTCAGCAGGGACTACAGACTTTCAGACGAAGGCGCTGGTGACTCAGCAGATCAGGATTACAATTCGAAGTGATTGCATCAGGCACAAGGTTCCAGGCACTCAGAAGGCCAGGAAGTGGTTTTGGGATACTTGGGGGAGAAATTCTAGCATGGTTAAACTGGACTCTAATGGTAGGCTTCAGTTTTGTCGTTGGTTGTTGTCCCCACAGGGACATGGGGAGCGTTTTAGCTCCCCACCATAGAGTCCAGTCTAACCAATTCTAGGAAAGGTCTTTGTGGTAAGAATAACTTTGAGTAAAATTCGGTTTGGGTGTCTGATTTCCTACTTTTTTTCATTTTGGGGAGCTGTTTTTCTGGCCAAAAGGGACACTGGACCCGGTTTCCAGGAGCCTATCTGGGTAATGGCCCCAGTTTTACGGGGTGATTGTGGGGTTTCCTGGCCCCGTCTCTTTTGGACTTTGAGTGCTTCTCAAAAAAAAAAAAAACTCTACAGAATGGAATCCAGAGAGAATCCACAAAACCCTGTGTTCTCAGTC